AGCGGTTGTGGTAGTAAGCTGCTGCTCATGGCATCCAGAGCCCACCACCGACCCCCAAATCAATGTAAAACCCTAATTTCTCTTCGTATTTTATTTTGTTATAAACCCTAAACCAAAAAAACAAGGAAAAAGCTCACATTTTTTCGCACCTTTTTTCGTCGGGGGGGAATTGACAGTTTCAGGGGCTTCATCGTCGATTCTCAGCGATCCTACTGCGAAGAAGTCGAGGACGATGTCTGCTAGCGAGTCGTCGCCATCGCCCATGAGAGCGGAGTTCGCCAAGCACACCGCCTACCTCAATGAGCTCGTAAGTTTTAACAACTGTAGATCGCTGCCTGTTGATGAGATGGCCGGCAAATTTTAATCTCTCCTTTTTCTCAGCATCAATGATCTTTAGTCGGTTGATGAACAAGAGAGATTTTTTAGTGGGGGGAAATGTGAAATTTAATTTAAGAGATCGGTTCTGATAGGAAGTTCATCACTTGTTAAAATGGAAACTGAAAAAAAAGAAAAAGAAAAGAACTTCATGGTAGTGGCCTGGGTAAAAAAGAGCGACTTTGTTCATACTGTGCTGTTCTAGGTGTAATTCTCTGTGGGTAGAATATACATGCCTGTTCTCCTTGCATTCCCTTTTACGCCTTCCCTCGCTCACTTTACTCTTCCGCACCCGATAGCACGTGCGTTTACCCCGTACGCCCTCCTTCCAAGTTCAAAAATTGGTGTTGGGCTATTCCATTTTAGTAATATGGCATCTATTCGACACCCTTGCATCCTGGCCAAACAGGTGGTTTCCAGTACGGCGGGCAATGTGGTATCCAAAGGAGACCCCATCCCGGCGTTGTTTATTGCTCCAATAGAGGACCTTTCGGGGGGTCACCTGTTCTCGACTGGCATGGCATTCATAACTTCTTTGCGTCGCTATGCACGCATCAGAAGGAAATTTGTGTTTGTCTTTAATATTGTCTATTTGCTACTGGTTTGCATTTGCAGAACGACAAGAGGGAGAGAATTGTAAAGGCTAGTCGTGATGTCACCATGAACAGCAAAAAGGTCATATTCCAGGTCCACAGGTAGGCTTAACACAATTGTTTATGTGTGAGCTTGATTAAGCAGCATATTTTCCACATAGTATCAATTCAAGCATGAGATTGGAGATACGTTAACACAATTTATAATGATACCAGCCATAGATAAGTCTGCTAGCCAAATAGATAACTTGAGAGTTGAGTGGTTATAATCTGAAATTTATTGCTAAACTTAATTTGCTTTGTCAGGGCTTCTATTCATCCGTAAAAAAAAGGATGGTCATTTAAAAAGATCTTCATTTATTTATTCCCGTGAGAAAATCAACCGGTTTGAATATCTAGGTTCTTCGATTTGTCCTCTAAATACATATTTAGGAGATGGGGTTACCAACCCAAATCCATTATCCTATTTACGAAGGAGCTTAATTAGCTCCCAGAAAACCCAGAGATAAAAGCTGATTGAAACTTGACCAAGTCCTGTCGTTTCTGATGTGGACTGAAATTTCTTGCTCTTTATAAATAAAAAAGTTTAGATAATTTTTGTAACTAAATTTAAAAATAATATTTTTCTAAGAAAAGAATGCCAATGTCATAGTAATATTTCATGCACTTATTATAATGACCTTCACTAGCAGTCTTACTGCTTTTTTGATGCCGAGACTCCAGCTTTCTTGTACTCCAGGCTCAATAAGGATAACAAAGATGAAGTTTTAACAAAGGCGGAAAAAGATCTTGCCGCAGTGACTGATCAATTTATGTCAAGATTAGTAAATGAACTGAAAGGTGCCGATTTTTGGAAACTCAGACGAGCTTATACTTTCGCTGTTAGCACCTTTCCCTTTACTTCTTTCTTTTTGAAAATATAAAATAGCAGTTTCTAACAGTTAAACAACTGCTGCAGATTCAAGAGTATGTTGAAGCTGCAGCCTTCTGTAAGTTCTGCAAAACTGGAAGCCTCCTGAACCTCGCTGAGATTAATGCTACTCTGCGACCGCTAAGTGACAAATATCCTGAGCCCCTGCAGATTAATGTTCTTGACTACCTTTTGGGGGTAATAGTTTAATTTTTCTTTTTCTGTTTAATATACTTTTCTCTTTTGGGGGTAATTGTTTTATTTTTCTTTTCTCTTTTGGTTTAGCTTGCAGATGTGACTGGAGAGCTTATGCGACTGGCCATTGGTCGAATATCAGATGGGGAAGTTGAATATGCTGAGAAAATATGTAGATTTGTGAGGGACATATACAGGGAGCTAACCCTTCTAGTACCCCTTATGGATGATAATGTTGAAATGAAGAAAAAAATGGAGGTGATGCTTCAAAGTGTAGTGAAGATTGAAAACGGTATTTTTTTTTTCTCCTTTTCTCGAGTTAATTGTTATCAGTGTTTCTCATGCACCAGGCTAGGTTTCTTAAGATTTGTGTCGAGCATTTGTCAATGGACTAGCCCCGAAATATTGCTTCTTTTTCTTCCTCTTCTATCTAATTTTAATCCATTCTGTGTCACTCTGATTAGTCATTGAAAACATCTTAGCTTGGTGTTCTATAGTTTTAAGCCTTATATTTAACATTATCTTAACACGATATTGGTTTATTCAATTTCTGTAAAAGAAAATAAAGAATGCTTGAGTTATTTTCATTGGTTGTTTTATGAGAATTAGTAAGGAGATTAAAGCTTAGATTTAGATGCATCAGTCTATGATGGTATTCTAGGCATCTATGAAAAGTTTGGACTGAGCACTTTAGAGAACAAGATACTATACATATTAATATAGTCAGAAAGATGAAGTGAAAACCTCCAATGATCCAATCATATAATAGTTGAAAATCCAAAGGAATTGAATCCACTAAAATCATAAATACACAGAAAAAAGAATGATTTTATTAAAATGGCCTGATGCACTTAAAGTTATTAAAATTTTCACTTATATACCCTCAACTAGTTTATGGCAGCACTTATTTACCCTAAAGCTTTTAAAACTTGCACTTAAATACTTTAAAGTTTTTAAAACGTGCACTTAAATGTCCTAAAGTTGCACTTAAATGTCCTAAAGTTTTTAAAACTTGCACTTAAATGTCCTCAAGTTTGCATAACTGTGGGCATTTAAGTGCAAGTTATAAAAACTTTAGGCGCTTAGGGTATCTAAGTACAAGTTTTAAAAACTTCAGGACATTTAAGTACCAAAACAAGTGAGGATAAGTTCAAAGTAGGGAAACTGTAGGGCATTTAAGTGCAATTAAGCCTATTGAAATTTTATTAATATCAATCTGCCAAATGATAACAACAAATGTTCTTTCATGTATCTAAGCGTTCTGCCAAATGATACTACGAACTCTTCAGTGATCACATCCCCCACATTATTCCATACCACAATTAAGTTTCTTGAAAGCTGAAACCATTGATTTTTGCCGTCATCATCTTATAATAAAAGGACATGAGAGCAAAGGTTTATGAATGTGGTGATAGTTGTCATGCATGTTACATTTATGATCTTTGTATCATAGTTATTGTAAAATTTCTAAAAGAACATTTGCTTTCAGCATTACCTCATTTGTATAAGTTTCGATAATTGAGGCAATCAATCATTCCTTGCAACCTTGTTATTGAACCATTTGATGATGAGTGAGTTTCTTCTTCTGCATACATTTATAAATACCTGTCCATAACAAGGTAAGTTAAAACTAGTAAATGAATATCTAAAAATGTCATAAACCACATGACTTTCTATGAAAATGGAATTTTTTTTTTAATTACGGATATCTTTTTACATGGGAGAGACTTTGATAAGGTTGCTATTAGTTTTGGAATCAGGATGAATGGTGACGTCGGCTTGTTAACCACGCTATTTTCAGGTATTCCATGGGAAGTAGAAGAGCTCCGTGCATCAATAGCTTTCTTCGTATTATTGTTTTTAACTTTGGCTACCATGATTTCTCCCTTTTTATCATAGATAAAAGGAAAGAAAAGTATAAATATCAATTTGTATGGTGCAAAAAATTACCGATACAGTGAAGCGTTTAGTTTTTATTTTGCTAGTTTTCTTGATATTTGAATGGAACTTTCTCATCTATTTATAATTGATTAAAAATCTAAAAAGTGCTTACCCGATAAAATTGAATGGAACTTTCTCATCTTCAATTTAATATAAATACCTACATTATCTAAATTCATACAAATGCTATAAAAGATCATGCAAACTAATTTTTGCAACAAAATTGAGGTGTATTAGAATAACAGTAAGTGAGAAAAGAGAGAAGCTAAAGATCTTATATTTGCTCTTACCTTTCTACCCTTTGTTGGATGTGCGGCAGATGGCACCAAACGATGTATTGATTAATGATATTTATAACAGATAGTTGAGACACAATTGATTGCTAAAGTTACCAAATTATACCTCAAGTTTCAAAATTAGGACCCTCAAGAGCCAAATTCCAAAAATATCATGCAATGTTCATGTAACTAATTTAATATTTTCTGTTGCTCCGCAAGTTTCGTTCTACATGATTTATAAGGTTCAGATGTAATTTTTGCAAAACCCTCAAAGTTCACGGGGGTTTGTGAAATTTACCCCCTTATCCTTTGGCAGTAATGTATGATTACGATTTGCTATTTGTGATATATTAAGCATATTATTTTGTGTTGGAGTAACTATTTGCACCTGTTATCTACTAAATAATAGTCAATTCCTGTGTTTGCCAGAAAAGTAACCTGGGGATTTATTTGTTTTGTTCAAACTGCAGCTTGTTATAGTGTTCATGTGAGAGGGTCAGAGTACATTCCTTTGCTTGGTACGAGTGATCCAGATTATTCCTTCTTCAGTGCTCCAGATATTGATGCGTGAGTCGTTTCCACTGAAGGAGAATCTTCTCCTTGAGGACATACAATGACCTCTAGCGGTAACTTTGTAGGTTGCTGGCTGCAAAAATGCTCATGTAACTTTGGTGAAATTACCTGCAGAGGTCGAAACTTGGACTTCCTATATTCTGACCTTAAGTTTGAACTTGTTTCTTTCATGGTATTCTTTTTTGAGCTTTTGTGAAGCGGTAGAGAGGGAGCGTTGAGAGAGAATGCAGGATGCATGTACAAAACATGAAGAAATTTGTTCCGAGTTTATGCAGAATGGAGTGTTGTTAGCTGTAATTGTTTTCCTCGTAGCAAATGGATGTGGTTTTGATTTCAGTTAAGCTGAGATTATGCTTAGCCTGTTCAATTAATCTTACATTTTTTGATGCTTAAGCTTTTTCGTTCTCCTCTTATTTGTTTATTTATTAGGGGGATACTTTGCAAGAGTGAAACCAAACAGGAGGTTCGATGAGAATGCATCCGTAAAAAAAAAATAGATATGCTAGGGGCACACCTCCAACCACAACCTCAACCACATCTCCTCTCTCTCTATAGTGCATTGGGATCCACATGAAATTGTTTAATTTCACGTGGGTCCCAATGTACTATATATATAGAGAGAGAGGATGTGTGGTTGGGGCCTGGGGGTGTGCCCCTATCACTACTAAAAAAAAAAAGAATGTTTTCTTGATGTCTTGATGTCAACATCTGTGCATCTATTTAGAGGTAAATTTTGGGGACTAATACTATTTGGAAGGCATTAGTTATTGCAATGATTTTTACAAATATCTATAGTTGAAAGGCATAGGCAGTAAACTGCTTTTTTCTCCCCCTGCATAATTAGTGAAGTGGTGAATTAGAAAATAGGTTTAGTAACAATGTTCTCCCAGTGCTATGGCGTGCATGGAGGATATCGGTACCATAACTTCGATAAATTTGTGGTGGTGGTGGATTTTGAAGTGGTACCATAACTTCGATAAATTTGTGGTGGTGGTGGATTTTGAAGCTACTTGCGAGAAGGACAAGAAGATAAATCCTCAAGAAATCATCGAATTCCCTTCTGTTATAGTCAGTGCATCGAGTGGAGGAGCCGAAGCTGCGTTTCAAACATACGTCAGGCCTCAATACCATCCCATTCTCACTGATTACTGCAGAGTGCTTACTGGCATTCAACAATTTCAGGTTTGTTCTATGATCCCTCTCTCTTCAAGTGTGTATTGGCGTCTCCATTTTTTAGATATGAGGTCCCTTTAATCTTTCATATTTTTAAAGGTTAATTGCGTATAGACCCGCTGTAGCATTGTGTTGTGACATTTATAACCCCTTAACAAAGATGAGAGGTAACGAATGCCAGAGTGTGACGCTACAAAGGGTCTACGTTCGATCAACCACATTGTCGATGCAGTCTCCTGAATAACCGAACAATTTGTATAAGTTGCTTCATCTGTTTTTTCTTCTTTTTTCTTCCACTACCCCCGTCCAATTTCTCAACTTTCGTCGGGTTAATGATATACTTATGAATTGGCAGGTGGACGGTGGTCGTAGTCTGTTTGAAGCGCTACTCATGCACGATAAATGGTTGGAATCAAAAGGAGTTGAGCAGAGTAAGTTTGCTGTGGTGACATGGGGAGATTGGGTTTGCCGTACTATGTTGAATTCTGAGTGCGGATTGAAAGGAATCAGAAAGCCTCCATACTTCAGTAGGTGAGGTCTCGAGACTTTTTTTTTAAGCCGCGGTTTTTCTAAATTTACGCATTAAAATACTTTTGTATTTTTCACATTGGACTCCCAAATCTTCATATATGTAAGTTACAGAGTTCATTGAGGCTAGATAACCTCCGACAACTTAATATAAAATGTTAATGTACATAGTTTCATAAAGAAACAAACTAGGTCAAAATACAAGGTGTTACAACATGTGAGAAAGATATATTTCCTTACTCCATAGAATCCTCTGAAAGGCTTGATCCCTCAGTCTCATGCACCCATGCAACACTGCAGGGGGGAAATGCGTTATCTAGGATTCTACACAATCCCAGACGAATCGTGCTTAAGACGTGAATCTAGAAAAACCTTTTTCTGAAGGAGCATGCAAATTCTGTCGGGTCCTGGAGCAAAATATTGATTGCCACCCACAACAATCGAAGCATCTTCAGGCGAACTTCAGTAGCATCATCCGTGACTCCAGTCAACCCACCATCAAATTCCTACTCCCTCCATCTCAAGTTCCCATCTGAGTTCATTCATCATTCCTCCATCTCACCGTTCTGATCCATTGAACCATTTTCAGGTGGTAAATTCCCTACATCACCATCCTCCACTGACATATTAATATCCTCAACCCGGTTCTCAGAATCCTGAACCTGTGGTGGTAAATTCCCTTTATCACCATTTTCTACAGACATATTAGTATCCTCAACCCCGTTCTCAGAATCCTGAATCTGAGGTCCATCTGCATGGGGGATGGGCTCTTGAGGTGCTCCATACCGATGGATCATTAATTGGGCCTGTCAGGAAACAAATATCACGAAGAACAACCATTAGTGGAAATTTTTGAATATGAAAATAAGGCATCAAAATGAACATAGTGAATAATCCATAATCTATCATAGAGTTCTTAAAGCTTATTTGAACATGGCCCTCTAAAGGACGAAGTCCATTTGCTTGTATGTGTGTGTACAAAAAGATGAACCGAAACCGTCGACCATAACATGATCCAATATGAAGCTCCAGCGTTATTTAGACGGTTTTAAAGAATCAAGTAGCCTGTGTACCTGCGCATGTGTGTGCATGTGCATTGTCCCAACCATTAGTTTTGTTTTGTCTTTTAACTTACAATTCCTAATTGAGGTGCTCATTACACAGGTTGACCCAACCATTAGTTTTGTTTTGTCTTTTAACTTACAATTCCTAATTGAGGTGCTCATTACACAGGTTGACCGAATACAAGATGGGTTACTTTTCAAACTACTCTATAAATTATTTTCCGGCGGTTGATTTCACTAAATTATGGTAGACAGAAGTGGAACTGTTATTTTTTCTTAAAATGCATAGCTGTTACAGTTAAGGAGCTGCAATTAGTTCATACCTAGATATTATGAAAGATGCAAAATAGTTTATGTTTGATGTCATTCACATACGGGTCAAAGCTGTAAAAGTAGAGAAATATATGCACAAAACATGTAGCCTCTGTGAAAGTAGATAACTACATCACAAAGTAGACATACTAAGATAATACGTGTATGATTTTGATTATGGATTGCCACTACAGTAATGGTGTTTCCACAACTAGACAGTTACAAGCCACAAATGAAAAAATTGAAGCCGCAGCCAAATTTATTTAAAATAAATAAATTCAAATGTGTCTTCAGGTTTCACTTCCAAAATTTTGGAAAATGCTAGATGGACAATATGCTATTACAATTTGGTATTACAGACATTAACGAAATGATACAACTAATCCTAAATCTTTTAATTCTGTTACTGATATAGCAGATTCAACTGAGACATATATATAACAAGTTAGGTGTTACTCATATTGAGAATAAAATTAGGACGAATTGTTTTAGATGGTTTGAGCATTACAGAATACAGGCCAATGAATCCTCCAGTGAGGAGAAATAATAGAATTGTAGCCAGTGAGGCCTTAAGGGCATAGAACTGTGGTAAATGAACCAATAAGAAACAGATGGACCTTAACAGACTTAAATGGAGGCAATCAAGAAAGTTTAACTGTAATAACTGCATTTATTATCAAGTAACAACCATGTTTTCCACCATTTAATAGCTGAAGTCAACTGTTGAATTTGAAACTTGATGTCTGTACACACACTGATAATCCTGCGCTTCCAGCATGATAAATCTATCTTATTACAACAGCAAGGTTAAATGTTGCAAACCACTGGTGTACAAAAAATATATATAAAGAAATTAAAAGAAATTGTTGAAGCAAGCAACAACCTTTTGATGATTCTACTACAAATTTATTAAAATAAAACGAATACGGAAATATTACAACGAAAAACAAAACTTAATTTACATATCCTAAATGTCCAGATACAGCATATTCAGTTCAGTCTGTTTTATTCAGCACATGCTGAAATTTAACTGGACAAAATTAGCTAAGAAAACTATTATTATATTGATAAAGCAACAGAAATAATGAATAACCAATTGGAATCTTCAAGAGAAAATACCTGGGACAGCTGATGCATCCTGAAACCAACCAAGCTTTCCATCTCCTGGATGTCATTAACAAAATGAATCCGTCCTGTTTCTCCAACAAGCCGCTCAGTGAAAGGACTCATCTCATCTAGATGCAATGCTAGGCGTTCGGGTCTCTGAAGCAAAAGCTGAAAGGTAGGCTGTAACTCATAGCACTGTTCAAATAGAGAACGCTGGCAAGCTGTTGTTATTTACTACAGTAGTTTAATACTTGTTAATATATAAGTTGGTTAGAATGACTGCCATATAATTAAATATGAAGTTTACGCCAAGCTGTTGTGATTCACAACTAGATAGATTCACAACTAGATAACTACTAAATGAATATATGATATAACTCAGCTAGACGAGGGTCGAATTGCTGAATTTAAATTCTATGACTAGAGTCATAGAAAAGTACCTCCGCAATCCAGAAAAAAGAACACAATAAATCTCTTGAGCTCGTTAAAAAAAAAGAAATCTATTATAGCATTAACAAAATTAGTTGAATATGCTCCAGTTGAGCTAACAAAGATCCATAACTCATATCCGGTTCAAAATTACAAGATATTTGGGTATCAATGTTTTATAATGAAAAACGTGATGAATGAATCAGCTTGCCAGAAAAGTTAGCAATCCATATATCTTCAAACTTTGCATGAAGAAAAATAATTCTAAATCAAATCCCGTTATACCAAATCCAATTATATGCAGGATCTGAATATCAGCCTATTTAAGGGTGCATTATTGGCAACTGACAATACAAAATTATACAAAGTACAATGAACTAAAAAGTCGGTTGAAGGGTAACAAATTTGTCAAGGGTTTCGCGGCAAGACACTGTTTCTGGATGCTCCCAGCCATAAATAACTTCCTTGATGCTGACAGCTGTTCTGCAAAGCCTCTCTCCGATGTCATATACGCCACCTCTTAGCATAATCTTTGCCCTTGTTTCTAAAAGAGTCGCTCTCAAGTGTGCGAATTTTCGGTAAAGTAGCGGGTTAGATTGTAAAGTTGATATAGAACCTGAACTCCTTAAACATGATGAATTAATGTGGTTATTATTGGCTTCATCCAGGAAAGAATTTTCTAGTTCCTCAAATTTTTCTGTAGCAAGGCGAAGAAGCTCTAGAACAGCATTGCAACGGAAGTATGTAATAAAACTATGCATTGCAAGAGGGAGGACAAACTGCTCGACGAATGATAGAAGATCATCAATTGAGATATTGATGATTTCATGATTAGTATCAAATTTGAAGAGTAAGAAACATGCAGCCCATATATGCTCCGTGTGTTGTGGGGTGAACGCTTGAAACTTTATTGCTCGCACAACTGAATGAGCAATTCCACTATTGCCTTTTTTGTAGGCATGCAACTTAACAATATCATGGAAAGAAATGTGATCTATTTTAGTAGTAGACTTAGCAATTCGCAATCTCAAGAGCATAGCCAAAACCTCAACCTCTGAAATTTTTCCACATGGTGTTTCTATACACATGCACATAGGCATACATTGAGACTTCAACCAAAACCGAGAATTGTGATGCTCTCTTGAAGGTATACACATGCACATAGGCATACATTGAGACTTCAACCAAAACCGAGAATTGTGATGCTCTCTTGAAGGCTCTTTTGCAGCCAAAGTTAAAATTGGTACAGGTATCGGTGAAGGGGCAAATAAGACACTAGCTTGAACTATCCGCAATGCTAACTTACTTAGTTCTTGATTGCATAATGACAAGCAAAATTCCAATAACTGTCCGAGGAAAGGATTACACTTCAATATAAGATCTTCCCCTTTATTCCATGTCACTTCTTTGTAAGGCATACTATTAATTGCATCAATGAGTTTTGATGGTTTCATTGCAAACTCAGAAAGTACAGCTCCTACAAGTTCTAGACCAAAAGGAAGCCTCCCTACTTTCTCCTCGAGAATCCTCAGTGCATTAGCATCTTCTGTGCCAAGATCAACAGTGCTTCTATTCATTAAAATCATCGCCTCTGCGCTAGACAAGTACAAAAGCCTCATGGGTTTGATATCCATGATTTTAGGCAAATGGGTGGAGATTAAAACATGGGTCGCCCCTCCAAAACGAGGGAAGAGCTCTTTTATAGTCCTTCCATCCCACCAATCCTTCTCCCTCTCTAAGTTATCAATCACTAGTAGGTACGGGATGTCCCGTGAAAGTTCCTTCCTTACCCTTCTAATTGCCTCATCTTCCATGTCTTCTAAGCTTTGTGGCCCTTTCTTGTCGGAAGAAAGCTTGTTCACCGTATCTGTATCGATTCCTAGGAGAGGAAGTAGCTTCATATAATTATGACGAAGATACCTTGATTCCCCACCGACCCATAAGATCATCTTGTACCTCTGAGAAAAGCTATATGCATATTCTAGTAAAAGCTCCGTCTTTCCAATGCCAGAGTCACCGGAGACACATGCTATCCCCTTTCCATATTCTAAATTTACTTTTCTTGGTTCGCCTTGTGCTTTGATCTCCTCCACATACTCTTTCTGCACTAATGGCTCTTTGCACTTTCTCCTCCTCTCCTCAGATTCTTTCACAACTCTTTCTCTCATCACCACCTTAGCCATTCTTTGCCTTCTTTGATTTCTACTCTCTTCGCGTTCTCCTTCAACATCTCCAAACAATAGCAACTCGAGCTCAAGAAGCTCTTTGCTTCTACCAACAAAATTAGAATTTCGAGGGAAAGGAAACTCCTCAGCCGCCATATTCCTCCAACTCTTCACCCTCTCCACTACTCTCCTCCTCCCCAACTCCGATCCAAAAATAACCACAGCCTCCGATACACAATCCCTCAAATTACTAGCATTAGCCTCCAATTTTAAATTCAGCCGTGAAAGCCCATTTACAGCCTCCCTCCATTCAACTTCCAAATCACCACATACCTCCCATAACCTACCCCCAAATCTCTCCCACACATCCCCTCTCTTTTCAATGATATCTCTAGGAATGCACTCAACTTGAGCAAGCCCAAAGAATATTGGTACCAACTTCTTCTTCTCCAAAAAGAATCGAATCTCCTCCATACTATAAGGGCACGAGAACGATTTCTCATTGACCACCACAACCCCAAATGAAGCCGCATCCATCACTGACCTCGCAACACCATGATCATAAGCACTCCTACACTGACTTCGATCAATCACAAAGCAAGAAACGCCTTGCATCTCAAGCTCAGCCTGAAGCCACCTAACGAACCGAACCATCGTAGGCCGCTTTCTACAAGAAGTAACCCCAATATACACATCATAGCTCCTCATCCTAGGAGACATAAATCTGGTATCGTCATCTGTGAAAGTTTGATCAACGGAATGCCCCAATGGATGAATCGTCGAAGGGAGGATCGGAGGGTCGTCAAATGGGGAAATGGGCACATGGGTATTGCCCAGTTGAGATTGGCTATCTGATGGGGTGAAGGATTGTGCAGCAGAGTGGAAGCTCATTTTTTTCAAACTGCACAGAAATAAAAAGTGAAAAACGTAGATTAGATTTCAATTATTAATAGCATACACTCACGATTTGATCGGTATGATTGGAAAAAAAAACAGAAAACAGTTAGGATCTGAGATCCTCTAAATTATGTGAATTCCCTAACACCCAAATCTGCTTATAGTCAACACCGGTTCATCAAATTAACCAAAAATTAATGAAGAAGGATTGAAACAAACTTCTTATTTCTTTGGATATTGAAGGCTCCCTTCGCAATTACTATTACTGTTATTGTATGATTGTTACTATAATATTTGTATTATTTCTCTAAATTGAGCCATGCTGCTTTAAATTGATTGATGACCATCCACACCTCAAAAATATTTACTTCTATAAATCAAGAAGCAGCAGAAATACAAGATGAAGCTTATGATTTGACGAAGAGAAATTAATTGGAGGAGATCGTGTAAGTAAACCTGTTACGTACCTGGAGACTGAAGCTTGATGATTCTCGAAGCCCACGCGAAAATTAGATTTTTCAGCTTCTTCTGTTAATAATAACAAATCGTGGGGATTTCTTTTCTTTTCTTTTCTTTTTTTTTTTAATTTTTCAATGGAAGCGCTAGGCTTTCTATAGGGTAGAGCCGAGAGGAATCTTAGTACCGGTTAAGGAATCTAATTTGCTGTTGATAGATTTGGGAACTTTGTCAGCAGATCCTTTCCTATTTAGGGTTTCTTTTTCAAAATAACCGCGCTTAATCGATGCTAATTAGATGTCAAATTTGGAATAGTATTTTCCCGATTCCCTAAAATTCGAAACTTTCCGGTCGGTCGCTCGGGGATTCCTAATTAATAGCTTGACGTGCTATTTTTATTGATGATTTTCCTCCCGAGCTGCGTGCGATTAATTAACGCTTTGAATTATCGATGCTAATTATTTTAGTTATTAGAGTAGCAAGTTTTTACAGGAAGGAAATCAAACTCCAGGAGGCTCAATAAAAGGAGCATAGCATGCTATTAAAACATGTTGCAGTTTCTTCCTATGATATGATGAGAGAAGAAAATAACAACAATAATCAAATGTGAGAAGAAAATTTGCTCTTTTTTATCAATTGCATTACCATCAAGTGTGAGCTGGAGGAATGTTCCTATGCTCCCCTCAATTTCATGAAAACAAAGGAAATTGAAGTTCTTTCAAGCTGCAGTTATATGCAGGATCTGAAGATCAGCCTATTTAAGGGTGCGTTATTGGCAACTGACGGTACAAAATTATACAAAGTACAATGAACTAAGAAGTCGGTTGAAGGGTAAACAAATTTGTCAAGGGTTTCGCGGCAAGACACTGTTTCTGGATGCTCCCGGCCATAAATAACTTCCTTGATGCTGACAGCTGTTCTGCAAAGCCTCTCTCCGATGTCATATACGCCACCCCTCAGCATAATCTTTGCCCTTGTTTCTAAAAGAGTTGCTCTCTCAAGTGTACGAATTTTCGGCAAAGTAGCGGGTTAGATTGTAAAGTTGATATAGAACCTAAACTCCTTAAACATGATGAATTACTGTGGTTATTATTGGCTTCATCCAGGAAAGAATTTTCTAGTTCCTCAAATTTTTCTGTAGCAAGGCGAAGAAGCTCTAGAACAGGATTGCAACAGAAGTATGTAATAAAATTATGCATTGCAAGAGGGAGGACAAACTGCTCGACGAATGATAGAAGATCATCAATTGAGATATTGATGATTTCATGATCAGTATCAAATTTGAAGAGTAAGAAACACGCAGCCCATATATGCTCCGAGTGTTGTGGGATGAACGCTCGAAACTTTATTGCTCGCACAACTGAATGAGCAATTCCACTATTACCTTTTTTGTAGGCATGCAACTTAACGATATCATGGAAAGAAATGTGATCTATTTTAGTAGTAGACTTAGCAATTCGCAATCTCAAGAGCATGGAAAGAAATGTGAAATTTTAGGGTAAAGCCATTTTTGAACTTAAGTGCAAAAATTTGAGAACTAAGGATTTATTGAGAACTGCAAATATTTTGGAAGTTTAATGCTCAATTTAAAATTCTGAGAGGTTCATTGAAATTTACTTTTTAAAATAATTAAGGAGGGACAATGTTAATTTTTTAGATTTTTTATAATTGTGGATAGCTAGAGGTTGTTTAGAATTAACAAAAACTTGATTATCAAGATTTTCAACTTTTTTATGAATATGAATTTTTGGTAATGGATATAAATAGTTTTAATCTAATGAGAATTCTTAGGAAGATAGAATTAGTTGGACATATGTCATCTTTTAATAGGATAGAAAATTAGTTCCTCCATTTGATCTCTTTTAATATCAAATTTGGACATATGTCATCTTTTAATAGGATAGAAAATTAGTTCCTCCATTTGATCTCTTTTAATATCAAATTATTGTTAAAGATTTTACCTTTAAATTATTTCAATATATTAGGATAAAATTAAAATATAATATCAATAATTTTTAGATTTTTATAATTGTGGATAGTTAGAGTTTGTTTATATAGGCCATACTAATATTAAAGTTTTAGTAAAGACTCTCATGATGGGTTCAATTCCGGGCTCAGTTATCAAAAAAAATGTTTATGACATTAAAAAAGGAACAAGTAAAAATACATTAGACACTAAGACCATCTCCAACCACCCTCCAAATCTCCAAAATCTCCAAATTTGGAGAGTGGAACCTCTCCAACCACTCTCCAAATTTGGAGATCTCCAAATTTGACCCTCCAAATTTGGAGGGTGGGGAGAAATTTTGGAGGGTCTCTCCATAACCCTATTCATGATTTTTTATTTACAATTTTGCCATTTTTAACTATTTGATTTCTTAAAATTTACCACTTTGACATCCTTCTTAGTAATTTAAATTAGATGTTTAATTTCAAATAAATATAGTTAAAAAATTATTAATCTAATATTTGAAATTATTATATATTTGGAAAGGGCTCGTTGAGATCTTTAAAATGAAACTAAGATTAATTTATTTTAGTATTATTATAAAATTATTAATTTTTAAATTAAATAAATAAGTATCAGACATGAAATTTTAAATACGGGGATCTATTTAACTCGCTCCATAAAAAGTACAAGCACAAATTACAATATTTAAATTACATGTATGCTTTCACTGTTATTTCAGAATTTTTTCTTTTATGATATGTTGTATTGCAGTATTAATATTGGGTTCATTTTAAAGCTCTCATCAACACCTTTATAATGTTATAATTTTTTTTCCCAAATAAATTATTAACAATGAACTTATTAACGTAAACTATATCCAACATTCTTTAATTTATATGGCTTTTTTGACAAAAAAAAATAAAAAGAAAAACATTTGGAGAGTGTGGGTTGGAGCAACCCTCCAAATTTCACCCTCCAAATTAGAATATTCCTAGAATATTCCAATTTGGAGGGCCAAATTTGGAGGGTATGGTTGGAGATGCTCTAAGTGATTAAACTTATTAACATATGGATCAGACTAAGTTCAGATTCAAATAAAAAAAATGAAGAGAAAAAAGAAAAAGAAAAGGTAGGAACACCGTTAATCCAGTGAAGGTCTTGATGTTGGAAGGTTAATATGGAATATATCTTCCACCATTCTATGGAGACTTGGTCACTGTTAAAATACCTCATTTAATCATTTATCATCACAGGATAACTTCTAGTGAGTAAAGCCTCCATTTCTGTGCCGAAAAGCTTCTAGAGTGAGTAAAGCCACACAAATCAATAATCAATAACCACAAACTCAAAACACATGAGATTTAACATGGTTCGGCAAATTGTCTATATCCACGGGGCAATAAGGGTAGGGGTTTTCACTATAGAGAAAAAGAGTACAAAATAAAGATTACAAGATTACTCAAATTAACATCTTAAACAAAATTCTCAAATCTCTCACAAAACCCTCAAAACAAATTGCTCAGAAAAAAAAAACTCTTTTTCTGTGCTCAAAACTCTCCTTCAAGCTAACCAAAACTCAATCTTCACGATTGGAAACCCCTAAAAAAAACAGTGGCTCAATTTATATCAAAACACAAACCTAATCAGAACAGGAAACCCGACCCAAGCCCAATACCACGTCGCAGTCGACCGTGACTAAGCTCGCGGTCGACCGGCCAGAACACCAAAACAAGGCATGCATGCAGAACCTATCGCGGTCGACCGCACGAGTCGTCACGGTCGACCGAACAGAACGTCGATCCAAACCCTGCTTCGTGCACGTTCGCGATCGACCGCACATGTTGCCGCGGTCAACCAGGCCGAACTCAAACCTATCCTTCGCTGTTTTCTAAACTTCGCTGTTTCCTCTTCATCACAAACATATGAAGAATAGTGGTCGACTCACATACAAGCTTACCAATTGCATTGTCATCTATAGCCGGTAATTCCGTTGGATGGCATTGATGCACCATAGCAAGATTAAATTCCCACTGCAACTATAAAAAAAGGGGAAAAAACAAATAAAAGAAGATGTGGGGCAAGGATAAAGTAAGATTTAACTACTTCCACAGGAAGAAAATGCACATCTCAAACATAGTTTTGGAGTTCCAGGATATCTACGACTGAAAAAAAAAAGAACTAAAGGCGTGTCAGTGGTACTACTGGTATTAAGAAACAAGAATGAATGTGCATGGGGTATAAGAAAAGTACTCTTGCTTTAAAAAGGTTACTTAGCATGCTAGCGACCGAATATTAAAATCAAATTTTATAGTTCAAACGCTTGAAATTAAACCTGGTTGAAGATGGAAGACGTCATACATAATATTTTCTGCCAGCATTATCTGTGGCAAAACTTTGGTGTACTACAGTACAAATATTCTAATTCCACACTGCATTAATCATAGTGATGAATGAGGTTCAGAAGCATGGAAACATTGCTCTATCCATGGACATGTTAACATATAGAGTTAAGACCCTTAAATCTTGGTGGCCACCAAACAATTATTCCAAAGAAAAGAAAATGTGGTAGGGAACATTATTGGTGAAATTATTACAATGAACTAATTTTCGTTCTACACTTGCCTTGATTATCAAGTTCCTGTGTATGGAGTTAGACCCTTCAAACTTGGTGGCCATCAAAAAATTATTCCTAAGAAAAGAAAATGTGGTAGGGAACATTAATGGTGAAATTATTACGCTGAAATAATTTTCATTCTACACTTGCCTAGATTACCGAATTCCTAGATATATGGTTTCACTTCCCCATCGAAGTATAATGGTGTTAAACAGAAGAGAAAGATTGAGAAGGATGAGCCTCCTACGAAGGTTCTGTATGAACTGATTCTTTAGTGCAGACTTGGACCAGGGGCCAATGTGATGTTTAAGTGCTATTTCATACGAATATTGAAAAAAGAAAAAGCATGGGTTAATATCAATTTTACATTCTCGGCTAAAAGGTACTCATGAAGGCAAGAAGATAAGCAGCCATATAATTTACTAGCAATACTTTAACGTCAGCAAGACAGACACATAGTACCTGTTATGCACAAATTATGAATCTTCTATTTAGTTTGTTCACAGGCTCTGAGGTTTTGCTTCTGATATTGCTTAATTTTCAATGTCCTTTGTCACTGTGTACAGTGTGCCCATCATTATATGACTTGCTCGATGGGTATTCAAAGTTTTAAAATTTGCATAACACACCCTTAATAATTCGAAATCGCGAATAAGCGACTAAAATTTTAAAAACTAGCAAAAGATAGTAGTTGTTTGATATTTTTCATTAAGATATATAAATTTAACTTCTAATTTAACATTTTGCTATCTTTTTTGACATCTAAAAGTAGTCCAATTTTATCGAAAAAGATAAATGTGGAAAAAGATTGATAAATGCTAGATGAATTTTTTGTTTTCCTTCCGCATTTGCCCTCCACCTTCCAATTTATTTTCTTTTTTAACATCTGAATTTGTTTTGGACTCAAGGGTATTCTAGGGGCTTCAGGCCAAATTTCATCCACTACTGTTCATACCTCCCAGGACATTTTGGGAAGTTCATTCCAACATTGACTTCATTCTCCCACTTTAGAGAATCATGAAGTTGGACATCTATGTAGTTTCTAATGCATCAAGCTACAGCCTGGAATACTGGGCTCTGTTGGGATGAGGTCAGTTCGGAACAGAATTCATCATAAGAAGCTTTAGCATACTATTTCCTCCAATGTTCAATATGTCCATAAACCAGAAGCGTGTCTCAACAATACAAGTTTCTGTCGACTGTAGAATTTTCCTCATTTTGATCATTCTAAAAATGCTCATTGCCATATGCAAACTTTCCCTAAACACTGTTTCACCTAACTGATATCAGGAAGCATGACACGGTGGATAAACGTCTGGCACGTGTTTCGATGCATCATGTCCATACTGGCATATCCATGTCCATACAACATAGACATTTGCTAATCACGCAACTAAAAAAGTTAAGTCATGTAGTAATCATTTTAAATTTGGAGATTGCTACATTGGATAATCCGATGACACCTAGTCTACTAGAACTCATCATTAGAACCATGGCTTAAACACGTATATACAAGATGATTTCTCCCGTTTAAATGAATATCTTGTTTTAGTGATGTCCATGCCATAGTCGAGGCCTCCAGGCAAATCACTCAAGACTTAAATACAATAACCTTTAGCTTCAGTCTTTGTGCTATTCAAATGCTTATAAAATTCAAGCTAAACTTCTTAAAATAAAGACCAGCTAGCAGTCACTGAACTCAATTTTTTAACAACAGAACCTAGAAACATGCCAGAAAACTTAAACAATGCGAAGCTTATATGATCAAAAATTTCACAACACTATCATGCTTTGGGTATTTCTACGATCATATACCTTTTGTTCAATATACATTTTGTTCAGGATGATTACAATAATATTTTTTTTCAAAAAGAAAAAAAAACAAGAATTCAAATATTTATGGCTCTATATTTTTTTAAAAGTTTTGAAAGTTCATGATTGTGTTAACTATTAAAAGTTGCATTGTAATTTATACCCCCAAACTTCATGCTAGTTTTATAAAATTTTACCTTACAATTTAACTCATGTTATATAATATAAGCCCGGAACTAACAGCATGGCGGATGAGCAAAAAGCACCAACTTCATAACGCTCTATCGAATCACTTTCCTTATTATCTTAACGGGTTCGGTTCATTTAGACAAATACTCACCCAACTCACTAGCCATCAACTATGTAAACATTCCCTCCTCTCCCTCTCAAAACAAAAAAAAAAAAGGAAAAAACTAATTCATCAATACCTCCCATAACAATCTCCACCGAATTTCTTCTAAATTTACTAAATAATTATCAAATGAATGCAATCCCTAAATCAACTCCTTCTCTTTTTCCTCTTAATCTCTCATCATTTTCATTTTCAATCCAACGGAGAGCACTCCCTTATTCCCTCCTCTCACTTCATCATCATCCTCTTTTCACTCCGCTGCCCAATCCTTCACCCCATCCGATAACCAATCCCAATTGAGTAACACCCATGTGCATATTTTTCCATTTGCCGACCCTCCAATCCTCCCTTCGCAATTCCTCCATTGAGACATTCCGTTGAACACTTTAAAGGCACTGTCCATTCTCCTCAAACTTCTACAGATGACTATACTTCTGACGATACCACATTTATGTCTCCTAGGATGAGAAGTTGTGATGTGTATATTGGTGTTTTTTCATGTAGGAAGCGGCCTATGATGGTTCATCTCGTTAGGTGGCATCATGCTGAGTTTGAGATGCAATGTGTTTATTGCTTTGTGATTGACCGAAGCCGGTGAAGGAGTGTTTACGATTATAGTGTTGCTATTGAAGGCTCTTTTGCAACCAAAGTAAAAATTAGTACAGGTATCGGTGAAGGGGCAAATAAGCCACTAACTATCCGCAATGCTAACTTACTTGGTTCTCGACTGCATAATGACAAGCAAAATTCCAATAACTGTCCGAGGAAAGGATTACGCTTAAATATAAGATCTTCCCATTTATTCCGTGTCACTTCTTTGTAAGGCATATTATTAATGGCATCAACGAGTTTTGATGGCTTCATTGCAAACTCAGAAAGTACAGCTCCTACAAGTTCTAGACCAAAAGGAAGCCTCCCTACTTTCTCCTCAAGAATACTCTATGCATCAGCATCTTCTATGCCAAGATCAACAGTGCTTCTATTCGTTAAAATCATCGCCTCTGCGCTAGACAAGTACAAAAGCCTCATGGGTTCGATACCCATGATTTTAGGCAAACGGGTGGAGATTAAAACATGGGCCGCCCCTCCAAGACGAGGGAAGAGCTCCTTTATAGTCCTTCCATCCCACCAATCCTTCTCTCTCTCTAAGTTATCAATCACTAGTAGGTACGGAATATCCCGTGAAAGTTCCTTACCCTTTTAATTGTCTCATCTTCCATGTTTTCTAAGCTTTGTGGCCATTTCCTGTTCGAAGAAAGCTTGTTCACCGTATCTGTGTCGATTCCTAGGAGAGGAAGTAGCTTCATATAATTATGACGAAGATACCTTGATTCTCCACCGACCCATAAGATCTTGTACCTCTGAGAAAAGCTATATGTATATTCTAGTAAAAGCTCCGTCTTTCCAATGCCAGTCACCGGAGACGCATGCTATCCCCTTTCCGTATTCTAAATTTTCTTTTCTTGGTCCGCCTTGTGCTTTGATCTCCTTCACATACTCTTTCTGTACTAATGGCTCTTTGCCCTTTCTCCTCCTCTCCTTAGATTCTTTCACAGCTCTTTCTCTCATCACCACCTCAGCCATTCTTTGCCTTCTGTGATTTCTACTCTCCTCACCTTCTCCTTCAACATCTCCAAACAATAGCAACTCGAGCTCAAGAAGCTCTTTGCTTCTACCAACAAAACTAGAATTTCGAGAGAAAGGAAACTCCTCACCCGCCATATTCCTCAACTCTTCACTCTCTCCACTACTCTCCTCCTCCCCAACCCCGATCCAAAAATAACCACAGCCTCCGATACACAATCCCTCAAATTACTAGCATTAGCCTCCTAACTTTAAATTCAGCCATGAAATCCCATTTACAGCCTCCCTCCATTCAACTTCCAAATCACCACATACCTCCCAAATCACCACATACCCTCTCTTTTCAATGATATCTCTAGGAATGCACTCAACTTGAGCAAGCCCAAAGAATATTAATACCAACTTCTTCTCCAAAAAGAATCGAATCTCCTCCGTACTATAAGGACGCGAGAACAGTTTCTCATTGATCACCATCACCCCAAATGAAGCTACATCCATCGCTGACCTCCTCACAACACCATGATCATAAGCACTCCTACACCGACTTCGATCAATCACAAAGCAAGAAACGCCTTACAACTCAAGCTCAACATGAAACCACCTAACGAGACGAACCATCATAGACCGCTTCCTACATGAAAAAACCCTAATATACACATCACATCTCCTCATCCTAGGAGACATAAATATGGTATCGTCAGAAGTATAGTCATCTGTGAAAGTTTGATGAGAATAGACAGTACCTTTAAGGTGTTCAACAGAATACCCCAATGGAGGAATCGTCGAAGGGAGGATTGGAGGAACGACAAATGGAAAAACGGGCACATGGGTATTGCCCAGTTGGGATTGGTTATCGAATGGGATGAAGAATTGGGCAACGGAGTAAAAGGATGATGATGATGATGAAGTGAGGGGAGGGAATATAGGAGTGCTCTCCATTGGATTGAAGATGAAGAAAAGGAGAGATTGAGAGGAAAAAGAGTTGATTTAGGGATTGCATTCATTTGGTAATTATTTAGTAAATTTAGAAGAAATTCGGTGGAGATTGTTATGGTAAGCATTGATGAATTAGTTTTTTCCAATTTTTTTGTTTTGAGAGAGAGAGAAAGAAATGTTTACATAGTTGATGGTTATGAGTCGGGTGGGTATTAGTCGAAAGGAACCAAACCCGTTAAGATAATAAGAGAAGTGATTCGATAGAGCGCTATGAAGTTAGAGTTATTTGCTCATCTGTCATGTTGTTAGTTCCGGACTTATATTATATAACATGAGTTAAATTGAAAGGTAAAATTTCATAAAATTAGCATAAAATTTGGAGTATAAATTACATTACAACTTTTAATAGGTAACACAATCATGAACATCCAAAACTTCTAAAAAAATGTAGAGACATAAATATGTGAATTCTTATTTTTTTTCTTTTTGAAAAAAAAATTTATTGTAATCCTCTTGAAATCCCCAAAGCATGATAGTTTTTGTGAGATTTTTCTTCAATTGAAGTATTTAACCTTGATTTACTTTCATAACTCATCTTCCTTTTATTATTATTATATACTAGGTTTAATGCACGTGCAATGAACGTGGTTAAATACCATTATTATGTATATTTAGTTTATTTCCTTACTAAAATTGGTTCCTAGATTCTACTTTGAAGGTTATATTTACTTATATTTGAAAACTTTAGCATGCAATTATTTCTTTTATTTAATGTTCATTTAAATGAGTGACACCCAATTTAAATTTTCATGTTGATACTTGAATTGATAAGAAATAAATATTGCAACACAAAAGCACCTTCAAACAAAAAAATTTCCTTTGAAGGGTAATACGCTAATACCCCTTCACCAATATGCACCGTATCTACTAGTTGCTATACCATCGCTAGAGTTGGCTGGGACTGAACAAGATGGTTCCTCCTATCACACTCATTTGCATGTATCTGCAGGAATTGGCATTGGTATTGTTTTACTACTTGCTTTCCTCTTTTTCACATATGTGGAGAGGGAAAAAGAAAGCTCGCTAAAGAGAAAGAAAAGTTCTTTCAAAAAAATGGAGGTCTGCTATTGCATGAAGAAATCAAGTCAAAAGATTCTAGACGTTGGGCTTCATTCAAGATATTTGAAAATAGAAGATATGGAGAAAGCAACAAACAATTTCGACAAGAATCTATTCCTTGGGCGCGGAGGAAAAGGGACGGTTTACAAGGGAATTTTGGAAGGAAACATAGCTGTTGCCATAAAAAAGTCTAGGATGATTGATGAGAGTCAGAGAATTGTGAAGGAGATTATAATCCTCTCTCAGATCAAAATCATCAGAATGTGGTCAAGCTCTTGGGGTGTTGCTTGCCTACTTGCACTCTTCAGCTTCACCTCCCATCCTATTAAGATGAAAACTACGTGGTAAAAGTGTCTGATTTTGGTGCTTCAACTCTAGTAGCCTTGGCCGAAACTCAATTTGCCGCAATCATACAGCGCACTTGTGGTTACTTGGACCCAGAGTACTTCCACACACGCACATATACAGAGAAAAGTGATGTGCATAGCTTCGGTGTAGTTCTTCTCGAATTGCTTCCAAGGAGGAAGGCATTCAACTTTGAAGGGACCGAACCAGATCGAGAAGAGTATTGCATCTACCTTTCTCTCTATGTTGAATGAAGGTCGTCAAATGAAGGGCAAGTGGAGGTATTGCTTGAAGTTTCGTATCTTGCGAAGCATTTAAGATTTGATGTAAATGTGGGCTTGCTATATTCTGCTTAGTGGTTGTGATAGACTACTAAAGCTGCCTGTTGTTTGCTGGGTCTAGTGATTGTTGTAGACCATTAATATTAGTGTGTTATGTTTTTGAATTGCGCTGGGTCTGTTCTACTAGTACAACTAGTATTCCTAATAATGAACTTATCGGCCTCGGTTCGATGATCATTTAAGTTAACTAACTTGATGTCTTTCTATTTTCTGATAATAGAAGGCTCTTTTGTTCTCTTTCATTGTTCTTCGTCAATGCTCTAATACTTGCTGATTATATAGGATCTACAAATTAAATAACCCCAGCGTGACGCGGGGGAAAGGGAGGAATAAAATGTAACACTACTCTATAGTATGAAACCTCACCCTCAACAGAAAATGTAACACTACTCGTTAAAATTCCAACGTAAAATAATGATAAGACAAGACACACAGCGTTAATGTTAATTTAAAGTTAGGTACTTAACTAAAAAGAATTTCTTGAACTTTTTTCGAGAAAAATAAAATCAGAAAGAAACTACCTCTGGTTGCTTTTTGAAATGATTAGGAGACCCCCTCCCCAAGAGACTGGAGGCAAATCCCCTGTAACAACAACAACATGGTCAAAAGTTTCAACTAACAAATAAAAAAAACGTCGGGTTGTGCATGCATCATAAAAGTAAATGAATAAACGAAAATTAAGAAGAAAAATTCTAGAATAGAACAACCAAAAACTTCCATGTTCTTCTTATAGGAAGAAGAAAGAACAGGATCGGTTTTGTTTTATTCTCTCAAACCAGTGAATCCAGAGTTGACAACAAACCCAAAAATAAAGTTTTCCAGCAATAATCTTTCTTACGAGAAAAAGTAATTAATAAGAAGGAATCAAATCCTTTAAAAAAACAACAATATCAACAACGACGACAATAAAAACAAGGGAGAAATATGAGTTTTCTTTCTTAACGACCTTTGCCGAGCAACCTGAGACGTGAAATGGGTTTTGATCACCTTTTCTTTTTTATCAACATCAGATCAGATTGAATTTTTTTTTTTTTTTTTTTTTTTGAATTTTTTTTTTTTTTTTTTTTTTTTGAAATGAAGCGCGTACCCATTCCGCCATTCCCACACCCATGCCATTTCTATTTCCCATGCCATCATGGCAGAAGTCTGACACAAGGTACTCACCCATGCCATTACTATTTCCCATGCCACACAGTGGGCCCCACTCCCCCCTCACGTGGGAGTTGAGGGGGAGCCAAGAGCATGCCAAATAAGAGGCGCTACGGTCACATCCTAAACAACATCCCTAACCACACTTCTCTAGCTACTAAACAACATCCCTAACCACACTTCTCTAGCTACAATGCTATTTGTTGTTAACAACAGGTTTTATACTTTTGAAATGAAATCAACAAAGTCAATTTATAGTTTTATACCGAAGGTCCTGCTTCTGATTTCACATTGGACTCCCAAATCTTTTATAGTTCTGTAAAGAGTTACAGAGGGCCGCGGTTTTTCTAAATTTACGCATTAAAATACTTTCGTATTTTTCACATTGGACTCCCAAATCTTCATATATGTAAGTTACAGAGTTCATTGAGGCTAGATAACCTCCGACAACTTAATATAAAATGTTAATGTACATAGTTTCATAAAGAAACAAACTAGGTCAGAATACATGGTGTTGCAGCATGTGAGATGGATATATTTCCTTACTCCATAGAATCCTCTGAAAGGCTTGATCCCTCGGTCTCATGCACCGATGCAACACTGCAGGGGGGGAATGCGTTATCTAGGATTCTACACAATCCCAGACGAATCGTGCTTAAGACGTGAATCTAGAAAAACCTTTTTCTGAAGGAGCATGCAAATTCTGTCGGGTCCTGGAGCAAAATATTGATTGCCACCCACAACAATCGAAGCATCTTCAGGCGAACTTCAGTAGCATCATCCGTGACTCCAGTCAACCCACCATCAAATTCCTACTCCCTCCATCTCAAGTTCCCATCTGAGTCCATTCATCATTCCTCCATCTCACCGTTCTGATCCATTGAACCATTTTCAGGTGGTAAATTCCCTACATCACCATCCTCCACTGACATATTCATATCCTCAACCAGGTTCTCAGAATCCTGAACCTGTGGTGGTAAACTCCCTATATCACCATTTTTCACAGACATATTAGTATCCTCAACCCGGTTCTCAGAATCCTGAATCTGAGGTCTATCTGCATGGGGGATGGGCTCTTGAGGTGCTCCATACTGATGGATCATTAATTGGGCCTGTCAGGAAACAAATATCACGAATAATAACGATTAGTGGAAATTTTTGAACATGAAAATAACACATCAAAATGAACAGAGTGAATAATCCATAATCTATCATAGAGTTCTTAAAGCTTATTTGAACATGGCTCTTAAAGCTTATTTGAACATGGCTCTCTAAAGGACGAAGTCCATTTGCATGTATGTGTGTGTACGGAAAGATGAACCGAAACCATCGACCATAACATGATCCAATATGAAGCTCCAGCGTTATTTAGATGGTTTTAAAGAATCAAGTAGCCTGTGTACCTGCGCATGTGTGTGCATGTGCATTGTCCCAACCATTAGTTTTGTTTTGTCTTTTAACTTACAATTCCTAATTGAGGTGCTCATTACACAGGTTGATCGAATACAAGACGGGTTACTTTTCAAACTACTCCATTAATTATTTTCCAGCGGTTGATTTCACTAAATTATGGTAGACAGAAGTGGAACTGTTATTTTTTCTTAAAATGCATAGCTGTTACAGTTAAGGAGCTGCAATTAGTTCATACCTAGATATTATGAAAGATGCAAAATAGTTTATGTTTGATGTCATTCACATACGGGTCAAAGCTGTAAAAGTAGAGAAATATATGCACAAAACATGTAGCCTCTGTGAAAGTAGATAACTACATCACAAAGTAGACATACTAAGATAATACGTGTATGATTTTGATTATGGATTGCCACTACAGTAATGGTGTTTCCACAACTAGACAGTTACAAGCCACAAATGAAAAAATTGAAGCCGCAGCCAAATTTATTTAAAATAAATAAATTCAAATGTGTCTTCAGGTTTCACTTCCAAAATTTTGGAAAATGTTAGATGGACAATATGCTATTACAATTTGGTATTACAGACATTAACGAAATGATACAACTAATCCTAAATCTTTTAATTCTGTTATTGATATAGCAGATTCAACTGAGACATATAACAAGTTAGGTGTTACTCATATTGAGAATAAAATTAGGACGAAATGTTTTAGATGGTTTCTACCATAATTTAGTAATAATAGAATTGTAGCCAGTGAGGAGAAATAATAGAATTGTAGCCAGTGAGTTTTTTTTTTTTTTTTTTGAAATGAAGCGCGTACCCATTCCGCCATTCCCACACCCATGCCATTTCTATTTCCCATGCCATCATGGCAGAAGTCTGACACAAGGTACTCACCCATGCCATTACTATTTCCCATGCCACACAGTGGGCCCCACTCCCCCCTCACGTGGGAGTTGAGGGGGAGCCAAGAGCATGCCAAATAAGAGGCGCTACGGTCACATCCTAAACAACATCCCTAACCACACTTCTCTAGCTACTAAACAACATCCCTAACCACACTTCTCTAGCTACTAAACAACATCCCTAACCACACTTCTCTAGCTACTAAACAACATCCCTAACCACACTTCTCTAGCTACTAAACAACATCCCTAACCACACTTCTCTAGCTACTAAACAACATCCCTAACCACACTTCTCTAGCTACAATGCTATTTGTTGTTAACAACAGGTTTTATACTTTTGAAATGAAATCAACAAAGTCAATTTATAGTTTTATACCGAAGGTCCTGCTTCTGATTTCACATTGGACTCCCAAATCTTTTATAGTTCTGTAAAGAGTTACAGAGGGCCGCGGTTTTTCTAAATTTACGCATTAAAATACTTTCGTATTTTTCACATTGGACTCCCAAATCTTCATATATGTAAGTTACAGAGTTCATTGAGGCTAGATAACCTCCGACAACTTAATATAAAATGTTAATGTACATAGTTTCATAAAGAAACAAACTAGGTCAGAATACATGGTGTTGCAGCATGTGAGATGGATATATTTCCTTACTCCATAGAATCCTCTGAAAGGCTTGATCCCTCGGTCTCATGCACCGATGCAACACTGCAGGGGGGGAATGCGTTATCTAGGATTCTACACAATCCCAGACGAATCGTGCTTAAGACGTGAATCTAGAAAAACCTTTTTCTGAAGGAGCATGCAAATTCTGTCGGGTCCTGGAGCAAAATATTGATTGCCACCCACAACAATCGAAGCATCTTCAGGCGAACTTCAGTAGCATCATCCGTGACTCCAGTCAACCCACCATCAAATTCCTACTCCCTCCATCTCAAGTTCCCATCTGAGTCCATTCATCATTCCTCCATCTCACCGTTCTGATCCATTGAACCATTTTCAGGTGGTAAATTCCCTACATCACCATCCTCCACTGACATATTCATATCCTCAACCAGGTTCTCAGAATCCTGAACCTGTGGTGGTAAACTCCCTATATCACCATTTTTCACAGACATATTAGTATCCTCAACCCGGTTCTCAGAATCCTGAATCTGAGGTCTATCTGCATGGGGGATGGGCTCTTGAGGTGCTCCATACTGATGGATCATTAATTGGGCCTGTCAGGAAACAAATATCACGAATAATAACGATTAGTGGAAATTTTTGAACATGAAAATAACACATCAAAATGAACAGAGTGAATAATCCATAATCTATCATAGAGTTCTTAAAGCTTATTTGAACATGGCTCTTAAAGCTTATTTGAACATGGCTCTCTAAAGGACGAAGTCCATTTGCATGTATGTGTGTGTACGGAAAGATGAACCGAAACCATCGACCATAACATGATCCAATATGAAGCTCCAGCGTTATTTAGATGGTTTTAAAGAATCAAGTAGCCTGTGTACCTGCGCATGTGTGTGCATGTGCATTGTCCCAACCATTAGTTTTGTTTTGTCTTTTAACTTACAATTCCTAATTGAGGTGCTCATTACACAGGTTGATCGAATACAAGACGGGTTACTTTTCAAACTACTCCATTAATTATTTTCCAGCGGTTGATTTCACTAAATTATGGTAGACAGAAGTGGAACTGTTATTTTTTCTTAAAATGCATAGCTGTTACAGTTAAGGAGCTGCAATTAGTTCATACCTAGATATTATGAAAGATGCAAAATAGTTTATGTTTGATGTCATTCACATACGGGTCAAAGCTGTAAAAGTAGAGAAATATATGCACAAAACATGTAGCCTCTGTGAAAGTAGATAACTACATCACAAAGTAGACATACTAAGATAATACGTGTATGATTTTGATTATGGATTGCCACTACAGTAATGGTGTTTCCACAACTAGACAGTTACAAGCCACAAATGAAAAAATTGAAGCCGCAGCCAAATTTATTTAAAATAAATAAATTCAAATGTGTCTTCAGGTTTCACTTCCAAAATTTTGGAAAATGTTAGATGGACAATATGCTATTACAATTTGGTATTACAGACATTAACGAAATGATACAACTAATCCTAAATCTTTTAATTCTGTTATTGATATAGCAGATTCAACTGAGACATATAACAAGTTAGGTGTTACTCATATTGAGAATAAAATTAGGACGAAATGTTTTAGATGGTTTCTACCATAATTTAGTAATAATAGAATTGTAGCCAGTGAGGAGAAATAATAGAATTGTAGCCAGTGAGGCCTTAAGGGCATAGAACTGTAGTAAATGAACCAATAAGAAACAGATGGTCCTTAATTAACAGATTTAAATGGAGGCAATCAAGAAAGTTTAACTGTAATAACTGCATTTATTATCAAGTAACAACCATGTTTTCCACCATTTAATAGCTGAAGTCAACTGTTGAATTTGAAACTTGATGTCTGTACACAGTGATAATCCTGCGCTTCCAGCATGATAAATCTATCTTATTTCAACAACAAGGTTAAATGTTGCAAACCACTGGTGTACAAAAAATATATATAAAGAAATTAAAAGAAATTGTTGAAGCAAGCAACAATCTTTTGATGATTCTACTACAAATTTATTAAACCAAAACGAACACGGAAATATTACAACGAAAAACAAAACTTAATTCACATATCCTAAATGTCCAGATACAGCATATTCAGTTCAGTCTGTTTTATTCAGCACATGCTGAAATTTAACTGGACAAAATTAGCTAAGAAAACTATTATTATATTGATAAAGCAACAGAAATAATGAATAACCAATTGGAATCTTCAAGAGAAAATACCTGGGACAGCTGATGCATCCTGAAACCAACCAAGCTTTCCATCTCCTGGATGTCATTAACAAAATGAATCCGTCCTGTTTCTCCAACAAGCCGCTCAGTGAAAGGACTCATCTCATCTAGATGCAATGCTAGGCGTTCGGGTCTCTGAAGCAAAAGCTGAAATGTAGGCTGTAACTCATAGCATTGTTCAAATAGAGAACGCCGGCAAAACACATAGAGGCCCAGCCGTGCTCGAGACATAGCAACAACCAGTCTCCTAACATCACGAAGGTGGCCAACAAATCGAGTGCGCACAAGCGACAATAAGATGAAATCATTCTGCTGACCTTGAAATTTATCAACTGTTGCAACCTGTTTGACATTATGAACAAACAAGTTAATAGAGAAAATCAGCTAACATGAATAAGCAACCTAGAGCTGGGACTACAAATTTGTGAAATAATGTCGAAGTCAATCTAATTTTAAGAGAAAACAAGACAGAGTAAGACACACTGCTTTTTTAATAAAAGATGCACTGTTTTATAAAGTGCCTAGCTATATCTTAATGCATTCAAGGCCAGTCATGAGCCTCAAGACACAGTCAATTGCATAATGAAAATATTAACTGCAAAAAATATAGGCCCTTGTTACTATACTCAGTGAACAACACAAGCGGTAAACAAAAAAAATCGAGAAACATCTGAAATTTCCTAACAATTAACGATCTGATGAAATTTAACAGATGGTGAAAATCTCAATTCTGTGAGCATAATCTTCGAAAAGCTAATGTAGAAATATTATTATTTTTTAAAAATATGTAAAATGCTAAAGAAATAACGATTAATTTCGACCGTTGAAATGTGAAGATGTATTAGATCCGAAATTTTGTTAAACTCAAAAATATGAGCTCCAGAAAATGGACCGTGTAATTATATGTGGAGCTCGATTTGCTAGGTGGAAGATCTCAAGTGACATGCTGAATTTCAAAATAAATTGTTGAAATATAGGAAAGGCTGAAGAAACCAAAGAGTGCTCAGATGAACTCCCAAAAGTGAATAAGGTTAAGAGCTTCAGAACTATCTAGAACTTGCCTTGCTAGGGGGAGGAATTCCGCATGACGTGCATCTTCTACTGATAACATCCCTAATCAAAAGCTTCTGGCCATTGTAAGTGGTTAATATTGAAATCTTACTCGGTGGGTATCCAAGCAAGATCATATACATGTAAACACTGACAATATACTCAGCCTCCCCTTCATTCTGATAGAACCAAGGAGATGGTGCACTTTCACCTTTTCCACGGAAATCTGGCACATTTATCAGCTGGTACTCATAAGAGAATCCAGCATTAGCTTTGTGAAAAATAGGATCCTCCCTTACATAAGGAAGGTCGCCTAAATCTCTATATCTCCAATTGTAAAGTTTGGCAATACTTGGTCGAGCTCTACCCTGCGCATTAAGCTCTATATAAGGGATCCCAAGACGTACAAACCTTGTGAAAAGACTTTGATCCATATGACTATACTTCTGAAAGGCCATATTTTTAACAACTGGAGGAAGCTGATGATGATCACCAATCAATATGCAACGCTTAAGCCGAGCATAACCATCTTCCTGCCTTTGAAGTAACATAGGAATAAATGTCTCTATCTCAAGTATTTGAGCACTCTCCTCCATTAACAAGTTGTCATATTTGAATCCAAATTGAAGGAAATCCTTCCTCTTTAAGGCAGCATGAGTACATGTCATGGCAACAATTTTTGCCTGTTTGGTCATCAGATAGTTTGCTCGATCAGCTGTAGACTTGAGCAACTCAAACGGTCTGCATTCTTCAAGTTCTTGAAACATTGTGGAGAGATGACGAAAGCAACCCTTAGCAGCTCTCATGTCTCTCTCGAAGGATTCACAGGTAAAAATGGGTTGAGGAGCATTTGAAAAGAAATCCGTAAATGGAAAGCGGTCTTTAACAAATGTTGGTTTATCTTGATTTTGTGAACATGCAGCTAGAAATTGTTCCCAACGGGAGTAGACATGAAGCAACCAAAAGTATCCTGCAGTTTCGCAAGTGTAACCTACATCCTCTGGTAGATTTAGGGACCTTGCAAGCCTTTCTACTTCACCAAGCAATTCTAGCCGCCGGACCAGCATAGCATTGACACGACCTTGACGGCTAAAATCAAGATCCGTCGCCAGCTCTTGTTCACCTTGCCCCAGCCGAAGAAGGTATCTAGCAGGGACATCCCTCTGCATGATTTTCTCAAAAAGATCATTCAGAGCTTGATTGGAATGGGTGATGATTAATGTTCTTTGTGAAGGGCAGTTGTGGTAAAGAACATTAAGTATCTGGACGGCTGTGTCTGTTTTTCCAGTACCTGGTGGACCTACAACCATAGTCAATCCAGGCTGAATACCTGAAATGATTGCTCCAATCTGCAATCAATCAAAAAGAAATAACAAGAGGGGTTAGTAGGAAAATTATATTGGTCAATGATTGCATGCAGTTAACAAATCTATATAGATATAGTTTAAGGAAGCAGCTTCCCCAGATAAAATGTAGATTATTTTCATAGAAATTTATCCTTTAGTTTTTCTTTCACAAGAGATCTTCTAACATTGGATATTCTGAGAAAAAAATGCATATCAGTTCCAGTCAAATATGTTTTCCGTACGTATTTTATTAAAAGATCTCCAGATGATAGTCTGCACAAATAAATTCTCTGAAACCAATCAATGTTCTATATTATTCAGTTATCCACACAATGTGAGCCCCCCGAACCTCGATTTAAGAAGTCTATCTCCCCATTGTAATGGTATATTAAATCCAAGAACTACACTACCCATTCAACTTCAAAATTGAAATTTGCACCGAAAATATGATGTTTCTATTGCAAAATATTACAAGGTATTCAAATTCATGCTAAATGAGACTTTGCTTCCAATGAAACTATATAATGGTAACGAAATGGACAAAGATTATTTCTAGAATATTCATAATGAGACCAAAATCTTTGAAAAAATAGGGCCTCAATCTCTACAAAAATTATCCAACCAAATTTAGTTAGGTGAAGATAGAGAAACACTTTCTAACATATTTTGATTAATCAAATAGGAAATGGTATCGCTTGGATTTATTGTGAATTCATTGTATTAGGTCATCCTAGCAGTTGTCGATCCACATTTTGATTTTTAAAAAATTTGATAAGTAATGTAGGTCAAGCTTAAGCTTATTGTCTAAATCTAATATGGAGTCAAAATCCAAACAAAGAACTGGAATCAAAATAAAGCAAACACTCTTTGAATCCATGACAAATTAAATTTGAAGGTATACGTAAGTTATGCGCTCCTAAAGATAATAATAATATACTATTAACCATTACATACAAATGCTACTATAACACAACCTTAAAATGACTTATCATGGTAAAGAACTCTTCATTTCATCTAAATGGAAAGACAGGAGGGCAAAAAAAGAAAGAAACATGGCAAATGAAGTGCTAGAGAAATCTCAGCATCATATTTCACCTAATTTGAAAGAACAAATTGTCAGATACCTGTGTTGGTGTAAATCTAACAGAGTTTTGCTTTGGCTGATCTTGGGGATAAGGCCCAGGATCAGCAGGGATATAATGCTCAATAAAAATTTTCTCCTTCTCAGAACCTTCATCTCCCATGTTTCCATCATTCAAGGACTTTGCATTTCTGGATTTGTTGCCTGGAAGAGCATGAGTGTTGCTTTTAATTGCTTTTGGAAGCTTTATCCAAAAAGGGGGATGTGGAGAGGGGTCCTCTGCACCATCTTGGCGAACAAAGGAGACCTAAAGGTGGCAAAAATAAAACATGTCAGGAAACA